ACACCCCCCCCCATCAAACTATCACATATATTGACTCCAGACTAGCAGAAACCTTCAACAGGAGGGTCGCTCCCAATGAACAAACTACGCCCCTTAAGCCCAGAACGATGGGGCGGGAAGCGTCAGGAAGGCAGACTGGTCACCAAACCTCTGCAGCCATTTCAGAGAATCACACTTAGAGAAAAGTCAATAACTGGTTTTACAAGCACAGTAACTGCTGATTTCCTTGGAAAGGGGCATGACGAATCCGCTTGAAAAACACATAGGCCCAGCTCACATCTGTATGTCCTAAATCATCGCAGATGCAACTCAACAACTACTGCCCTACCAGAAACGTACACCTAAAATCTCTTTAAAAACATGAATCCTGAACACCACGCAGTTACCCTACAGACTTCATAGATATGGATGCTTTTCAATAAAGCAGAACAACAGAGAACAGACTATGATACAAGTCAATGATCAGTACACAACTTCATTAAACTAAAATTCATTGTGATGCTTGGTGCAAATAATACTGACAGCTGTGTCAGCATGGTAAGCAGAAGCACATGTCTGAATTACTCTTCTTCCTCCCTGTTGAAGTAATGGACAGATGTCCTTGTTATCTTTAGGCATCTGAAGTTAAACTTTCTCCTGTGATGAATAAAAGCGAAGGGAAAAAACTAAGATGCCCTGTCCTTCCAGGCACATCCTCATTTGAATAGTATCCCAAAGTCATGCCACTGAAAAGGAACAGCAGCACACAGGGAATGAGAACTCCAAGAATGGAATTCATCTGGACCATCACTAAAAAAAAAATCTGCAAGAAAACCAATAAAACAAAACAAAGAAGCCCTATGCACATTTTGGTCTCAGTCTCGACTGTGTACAGTTCACGCTGAACCAGTTAGTTGGTCTCTGTTCTCTCAATTACAGGTGAATTTTGAAGAACAAATCTAGCTGGAATTCAGAGGAATAAAAGCCAACCTACATACCGCTACAATAAGCATAATTTGGAAGATGTGGCAAGAGATGGAGAGTCGATCACTGGACAAATACTACAACTAATTTATTGGGTCAGAACACCAGAACGGAACTGAAAAATGAGAAGGTGAGCGTACGCAGAACTACTGACATAAAAAATCCTCACGTTCAAGCGCCAAGTCAACACCACTTTACCTTCACCCTGGGAGGGGGACCACGTCTGGATTTACGTTCTGCACTTTGCTAAGAGTGTTACAGCTTCTCAAGTGGCTAATGCTCGCGTTTCGTGCTTAATGCTCTTTATCTGTCCAATGCAGCACGCATTAAAAGCCCCCTTCTCTCCGGTGCTCAGCTGCTGCAGCTTGCTGCTCCTTCAGCAAGTCACCAGAAGCAAACTGGGAGCTGCTCGATACTGCAAGTCATTTCGTTCTTCAGAGAGATGGAAGCAGCTGCGGGCGCACAAACCAGTGCTGACACAACAACTGAGTCTGGAATCAAGAGGACTAAAGCAGATGAACGGCTAAAGATGGATCAAACTACATCAAAAAACCTCTACTGATTTCACTTATTAATACTTTTCTAACCAGTACGAAAGAGTTGCTTTCCTCCTTCCTAGCTTTTTCTCTTCATCTTTCACTAAGAAACATTTTCATTGGTGGAGATGAAAGAGATTCCATATGTTTGTAAAACAGAGAAAGATCCAAAAGGAAGACAAACATCAACACATCCTTTCACACCGGTGCCACATCCCAGAACGCAGACTAGCTGATCCTGGTCCCAGCTGTCGCACAGTTTTCACTCTCATCCATGACAGCAAATAGTGAAGGAAATAGTGACATCATCACTGTTCATTGCTCTTCATGGAAAGGTTGTTCTATTCCACAAAAATAATGTATTACTGAAAAGAAGAAATCTTACCTCAGCAGACTCTCCGTTGGGTGACAATGTACAGGTCAACGTGTGCTCACCCATGTTATATGGATACTGCTGCAGGAAGGTGTACATTGATTTGGCTGACTTGGCACTATCCAGCTGCAGAATTGCCTACAAGAAAACAAAGCACAAACTTCAAATAACTGTTACTTTATCTTATTTCTGTATTGCAGAACAAGTTTAGCAAATTAGGTTGGTATAACATGGGGTAGCTCGTATTCCTGAAGGGTTTCAACATCTTCATTTTATATTAGCTGTAAGCAGCATTTTTTTAATTAAATCCTACGTTCTTTCATATGGAGGACAGTGGACTCTTTCTTCCTTCAGCCTCTCAGAAGGATCTCTCCTGTTTGGAATTATCTTTAAAACTAAATAACTACATCGCAAAACAGTGGAGCCTGAAGCTTCCCTACCCACACGTGTCCAACCTCCTGGCTACAGAAAAATAATTTTTCTTAAAAGCTTCCTCACCTGTTTTATGGTTTATCAGCAGCTGGACACTTAAAATAGCTCATAATAACGGGAGCACAACTGCATTTTAATCATTAAAATATACATGTACACACCGTGACTTAAATTTAGTTCATAAAATAAAAGTCTAATATTAAGTGCAAAACCAGCAACATGAAAAATTACAATATCAAAATTAAAGAAATTGAAAATCCAGTCACTACATTTTGAAGTGTCCCAAAACAAAAAGTAATTTCAGCAATTCTTACATTTTCACTTCTCATATCAAAATAATTTTTCCCCCAAGTTTCCTAGAAAATGGGAACTCATCTTTCTCCCACTTACACCTCTAATGTCAAAGGTAAATAATTTTTCCAGCCTTTGGGAAGCTTTACTTTCAGAGCTTATCAAACTGCTCTTGTATTGTTCACGTTAGATAACACCTGAAAGCTTGGTCAGTTGTTTGGGTTTTTTCTGTTTTTTCCTTTCCCACTGCCCCCAACAAATAAGACAATTTTCTTGTTCAGGATGAGTGG